ATTAGTACTGTCTTGTCTATACATTGTATATTAACGTCCTGTCTCTCCTGTATAAGGTATATTACACTACTATTTTGTCCCTACACTGTATCTTACTGTCCTGTCTTGCCTCACCAATCTATATTCGAACTGTCTCTCGACTACACAGTATGTTACTATCCTGTCTTGTCCCTACACTGTATATTAGTACTGTCTTGTCTCTACACTGCCTATTACATTCATAACTTTCCTCTACAATGTGTATTAGTACTGTCTTCTCTCCACATTGTATATTACAGTCCTTTTTTCTCTCTACAATATAAATCACAGTCCTATCTTGTCTCTACACTCTATATTACAGTCTTGTGTGTGTCTCTATATATATACACTGTACATTGTATATACACTCTACGCTGTATATTAGCACTTTCTTTTCTCTACACTGTACATTACATTCCTCTATTCTTTCTTCACTATATTTAGTCCTGTCTTGTCTCTACACTATATATAATAGTCCGATCTTCCCTCTGCACTGTATATTAGTACTGCCTTTCCTCTACCCGATATTACTATCCTGTCTTCTCTCTACACTTAGTATTACAATCCTCTCTTCACTCTACACTGCATACAACTGTCCTGTCTCGCCTCTATAGTATATATTTGTACTGTTTTCCTCTACACTTTACATTACAATTATTTCTTGTCTCTAAACTGTATATTATTACTATCTCTCCTCTACATTGTATATTAAAGTCATATCTTGCATCTACACTACTATATATTAGTACTGTCTTGCCTCAACACTGTATATTACTGTCTTCTCTATTATCTACACTATATATTAGTACTGTCTTGTCTATACACTGTAGATACGAGTCCTATCTTCCCTTTACACTGTATATTACTGCCCTGTTATATATATATATATATATATATATATACATACTGTATATTAGTACTGTCTTATCTGTACTATGTATATTACACCCCTGTCTTGTCTCTACACGGTCTACTATAGCCCTATCTTGTCTATACATTGTAAATGACAGTCCTATCTTGTATTTACACTGTGTATTAGTACTGTCTTCCCCATGCATTGTATATTACGGTCCTGTCTTATTTGTATATTGTATATTAGTATTGCCTTGCCTTTACACTATATGTTACAGTCTAGTTTTGCTTTTACAGTGTATATGAACCTCTACACTGCATATTACAGTCCTGTCTTGCCTCTATTCTTTATATGGTAGACCTGTTCTTTTCTCTGCACGGCATATTACAATCCTTTCTTGACTCCACACTGTACATTACATTCCAGTCTTCTCTCTACACAGTATATTACAATCTAGTCTCATCTCTACACTGTATATTACAATCTAGTCTCATCTCTACACTGTATATTACAATCTAGTCTTCTCTCTACACTGTATATTACAATCTAGTCTCATCTCTACACTGTATATTACAATCTAGTCTTCTCTCTACACTGTATATTACAATCTAGTCTTCTCTCTACACTGTATATTACAATCTAGTCTTCTCTCTACACTGTATATTACAATCTAGTCTCATCTCTACGCTGTATATTACAATCTAGTCTTCTCTCTATACTGTATATTACAATCTAGTGTCATCTCTACACTGTATATTACAATCTAGTGTCATCTCTACACTGTATATTACAATCTAGTGTCATCTCTACACTGTATATTACAATCTAGTCTCATCTCTACACTGTATATTACAATCTAGTCTCATCTCTACACTGTATATTACAATCTAGTCTCATCTCTACACTCTATATTTGACTGTCTTGCCGCTATTTTTTATATGAGACCTTTCTTGTCTCTATATTGTATATTACAGTCCTGTCTTGCCTCTACATTTTATGTTAGAATCCTGTCATGTCTCTACACAGTATATTAGTACTATTTTTCCTCTACACTGTATATTACAGTGCTGTATTTCCTCTACAATGTGCACTTATATTATCTTTTCTCTACCCTGAATATCCCAGTCCTATATTGCCTTTACACTGTATATTACTGTCCTGCTTTGACTCTACACTGTGTATTAGTACTGACTCTCCTCTACGTTCTGTATTACAGTCCTGTCTTGCCTCTACTCTGTATATTAGTCCTGTCTTCCCTCTACACTGTGTACATGTGTTATCTTGTCTCTACCTTGAATATCCCAGTCCTATCTTACCATTACACTGTATATTACTGTCCTATGTTACTCTACACTGTATATTACAGACATGTCTTTGCTTTACACTCTATATTACAGTCCTGTCTTCCCTCTGCATTCTATATTACAGTCCTATCTTTTCTAAACACTGTCTTCTGTCTGCACTGTATATTACAATCCTGTCTTGTCTCTACATTGTATGTTACAGTCCTGTGTTGTTACCGCACTGTATTTTACATTCCTGTCTTTTCTCAACAATCTATATTAATGTTGTCGTTCTTCTGCATTGTATATTATAATCTTGTCTTCCCTCTACACTGTACATTACACTCCTGTCTTCCCTCCACAATTTATAATAGTGATGTATTTTCTGTATACTGTATATTACTGTCCTGTCTTGTGTCTACACTAAATATTAGTACTTTCTTGTCTATACAGTGTATATTTATACTGTCGTGCCTCTACACACTATATTTATTCTGTTTTGACTCTACACTTTACATTACATTCCTTTCTTTTCTCTACAATGTATATTACAATCTTGTCTTGTCTCTACACTGTATATTACAATCCTGTCTTGCCTGTACATTGTATATTATGATCTTGCTCTAAACTCTATACCACAGTACGCTCTTGCCTCTACACTGTATATTACAGTCATGTCTTGCCTCTACACTATATATCACAGTCCTGTCTTGTCTCTACAATGTATATTATATTTATTTCTTACCTATACACTGTATATTATGGTCTTGTTCCTACACTGTATATCACAGTCCTGGCTTGTCTTTGTAGTGTGTATTACAGTCCTGTTTTGCCGCTACACTCTATATTACGGTATTGTCTCTACACTGTATATTAAAGTCATGTCCAGCCTCTCCGCTGTATATTACAATCCTGTCTTGCCTCTACACTGTACATTACATTCCTGTCTTGCCTCTACACTATACATTACAGTCCTGTCTTGTTTCTACCCTGTATATTACAGTCCTGTCTTGCTACTTCTACACTGTATATTACAGTCTTGTCTTGTCTCTACACTGTATATTACAGTTCTGTCTGGTCTTACCTCTACAATGTATATTAGTACTGTTTTTTTTGTTGTTGTTGTCTACGGCCTCTCAAGTAGAATGTTTCAAGGGGGTTTAATTTGTGAAATCAAAAGCCAACGCACAATCAGCATGCAAATCATGTTAATGCTCCACAGGTCTGAGGGTATACCCGCAGAAAATATAGCTTAAACAATTGCATGGCTGTTCACATAAAATCTACAAACATCCAATGAAATGTCAACAAGTCATCATTATGTTGTAACACTGAATGTGGAGCTAGACTGTGCATGCGATAATTTCGAGCCACAAAATGCTAATGTTTCGTCAGAATAATATAGACTACGTAGAAAACGTTAAATACCATAAGCACCTGCGTTATAACTATATAAGCATAATTTATCACAAATAAAGGGGGTTCGGCCGAACCCCCTGCGTACGTGCGTGTTCTACACTGTATATTAGTACTGTCTTGCCTTTAAACTGTAGATTACAGTTCTGACTTGTTTGTTTGTTTGTTTTTGAATTTATGCACAAAGCTACACAATGGGCTATCTGTGCTCTGCCCACCACGGGTATCGAAACCCGGTTTCTAGCGCAGTAAGTCCACAGACATACTGCTGTGCCACTGGGGGGCCAGTTCTGACTTAATTATACTAAATACTTCTATTGATAAAGTCTATAGTGTCATATTAAAGCTGCCATCTTGTCATCGTTGCTTACTTCAGAATCAGTTGCGCCACTTTCGAAGCTTTTCTACGATAATATACTTTATATTATTGTACTTTATTATTATTATTATTGTATTATACTTTATACTATTGTACTTTATTATTATTATTATAAAGACAGGACTGTAATATACAGTGTAGAGCATGAAGTTTCGGTTGGGTGTAATGACAGGGATGTGGAGAGTAGCATCTACATGTAGTTTGGTTGGGTGTAATGATGGAGATGTGGACGGTAGGACCTATATGTAGTTTTGGTTGTGTGTAATGATTGAGATGTGTAGAGTAGAGCCTACGTGTAGTTTTTGTTAGGTGTACTAACGGGTTACAGTTCTCAAATGATTGAGAAGTTAGTGAAGTATTCAGATCAGTGTTAGTTACCCGTATATTCAGTTAATTTATCGGTTAGCCGAGAAACTGTACAAGTTTATTTGACCATTAGTCGTAGTACCATTATTGGGTAATTTTTATTTTGAATATGTAAACCTTACTTGTGAACTTGTGAACAAATAACGAAATTTGTTATCGTTAGGTGGCCTGGGTGTCGTATTATTTTCACCAATAACTTAAAAGAGTCCACCCAACAAAAAAAGAACTTCACGACAATATTAAAGGAGTATCAAGAATGATGCGATATTAAACTTAAAGCTAAAACAATGGAAGTACGAAGTAGCAGAGATCGTAAGTTTGGACAAACCTCAACAAGTGGTAATTTTAAGCACTCAGTTTGTAACTTTAGTCTTGATGAGTAATTATGATTTGTATTTAATTAAACTATTAAAAAAGTGTTCATGTTGTACCTGTGAATTGGTGTTTGGGAAGTAACAGTTTCAAGAAATTAACGTTCTCACCTGAACGTATACTAAAAAAATCTGCTATAAAATTTTATTTCTAAAAATAACTTTTATGAACCAAAACCTAGACTTCTTAGAGCTTTTACAAGTAATTTGTATATGATGTTTTCTGACTTTTAACTTTAAGAGCACTTAATTATTATTCAATTTATTTCGAAAAGAACAACAAAAACTCAAAGTCATGGATAATCACTGCTTACCTGAGGCAGATTGGCTTGTAACTGACGTTGTAGCGACCTTCTTTCTTTTTCAACTTGACCGAGTTCCGTCTGTGTATTCTGTAGTTTTTCCATAAGCTTGTCTCTCTCGTCAAGAAGATCAACCATGAGTTGCTCAAAGTTTGCTTCGTCTCCGCTAAGCTGACTTGTCTGTTGGTTAACATTGTCTTCTGATATTGTAGGCATCACGTCACACATCATCATATTCCACATTTTATAGAGCACAACACGCACAGAACTTCAGTATTTTGATGGCCCTGTTTTACGAAGCGTACGTAAAACTGTATTTATTCAGTGTTAACATGTTACGGCTCTTGTTCTGTAAATTGTAATCGAAAACACAGATACGGGCCTTATTAATATGTAATTGTATTTTCTGAATTTCAGGAACTGTACAATCCCCAAGTTAACGAGTTAAAGTAACGTTATTATTCAGGTTAAGCCTAGATAACCGCTACAATTTCACGGTATTCAATCTAATTTAGTCTGGAAATCACAAATTTTACACCATCAGACACGCTCACGAGTCTCGGACTATCAGTCTCACGTACCATGGCACCGATGTATTTCTCTTTTCGTCAACTAAATATAGTCTTATGAATTGAAGTTAATATCTATTTTACTTGAGAGTTCACACTGAAATTTAACATCTACGCACTTCCAAAGTACAACAAGTTAGTTTACTTATGCAAGTTTAATCTACGGAGTATTTGAAATAAAAGAATAAGGACTGCTACTAGTCCTATAGCACTACTGCTACTATTACTAGTACTACGTACCGTAGACTTGTTAGGCCTCACAAGTCTTTGCAGTCAGTGCTGCACGAGACTTTCACCGGTAGTTACACGCGGTGGTACATCCACACATGACGTCACCGTAATTCACGCTTTCATGCTCCTACCTACAGAGATCTTTTAAGAGTTAAATAGTAACTGTTTCGTCCTGCTGCTGCTATTTTGATGTAGAACAACACAAAGTTTATGTTAATACCCAAAGATATGTATAACTAGATTCAATAATCAATACAGTAAAATGTGCACACACGTTTGTAATTCGCTCAGGCGTTGGCGTTAGTTGAGACTCTCTAGTTAGAGAAATCGACTTTTTCTAATTCTTATCCCATAAACTTAAACATTATGGTCCCGAACAAATGTAAAACTAATCTTTCTGAGGTATCAGAAGGATTAGGCGGAAGCGTAGAGAAAACAGATGTGGACTAAGTTTCTTTAAAATCCATCCTAGTACTACACTCTCGCTTGGAAAGCGTGTCGCACGAAAGTGGAACGCACCGGTACTAGCCTCCATCGCAGTAGTTTCTGGGTAATTTTAATACTTTCGGAGCAGTAGAAAAATTTAAAATTTATACATTGAAACACATAATAATTCTTATCGTTAATCGTTTCACCGAGTTACTTTATCATTTAAATAACACGATTAACTTTACCGATGGGTGTAGTGAAACGGTAACGTCCATGTGGTAGAGATTATAATGTTGTCATCCCATAATGCACTTTAAAAACAAGGCGGGAGAAATCAATCTTGCTCTGATACGCCGGTATCCGAAATGGCCGATAATGTAACAATATGATAAAACAATATATTACAATCTTTATAAGTATTGATTAGGTTATTTCGCTGCAAAGCCACACGAGAGCTATCCGCGCTAGCCATCCTTAATTTAGCAGTGAAAGACTAGAGAGAAAGCAGCTAGTCATCATCACCCACCGCCAACGTTGGGGCTACTCTTTTACCAATGAATAGTGAGATTGATCGAAACTTTATAACGCCCTTACGGCTGAAAGGGCGAACGTGTATGGTGGGATGGGGATTCGAACCCGCCTCTATAAGTAAGATCGTAAGAAAAGTATATTAGATTAGCTATATTCTCTACCCAGTAGTTCTTTTTTTTTAACCCTACTCTAAGTAGATAACTTGCTCTGATCAGAAGTTAATATTAATTATTTAAAATTATCATTTTCTCGTAAATATCGAATAAACTGAAAACAATGTTTATGTTTATGGAAATAATAAACAATTTTTCACATTACTCTTATTTACGCTTTCTTATTTTGTTAAAAAACGAACACCAAAATAAAGTCAACTAACTATTATCAGGGCTGGATTTAAAAAAAAAAATCTTTATTGTATTTAAAAACAAACTTTCAAATATAAGAAATAAATATATAAATCGAATATCGCAATATTCATAGATAATGTTAACAAAATATTTGTAGAGGTCCTCTTTTGTTTTGGGGTGGAGAGGGGGGGAGGGCTGATGCAGATGTTGCATTTACCTCATGGTTTATCCGGCACTGGCTATTATGAAGGTTACCCGATCTATGAAAAAAAAAAAATGAGGTTCGTGAATTTAGTGAATGGAAGGAAAAGACAAGACACGATGTTGAAGTTTTAGTAGCATGAGACACTATTTTTCTGAAGAAAATCGAATGTTGCCCGATCGCTAGGGTGGGGTATTGCATTGTGATAAATAAAAATTAAAGGATTAAAAGTTAAATAACTATAATACATACATTCAGCATTTAAAATAAACTTTTCCTAGAGCTTAAATAAAGTTAGCTCAGAATATTACCGCCCTGTTTTGCCTCTACGCTGTATATTACAGTCCTGTCTTGTCCCTTCATTCTATGTTACACTCTTGTCTTGCCACTAAAATGTATATTAGTACTGTCTTAGATCTACACTGTATATTACAGTCTTCTTTTATCTCTACAATGTATATTCAAGTATTGTCTTGTCGTGTCTCTACACTGTATATTAGTACAGTCTTCCCCGTATATTGTAATAACAGTACTATCTTGCTTCTACACTGTATAAGTACTGTCTTGCCTTTACAATATATATTACAGTCCAGTCTTGCCTTCGCAATGTATATTGAGCATCAACACTGCCTGTCTTAGCTCTCTACTATATAGGACAGTCCAGTTTTGTCTCTTCACTGTATCTTAGACTGTTTTGTTAGGTCCTACTGTCCACATCCACATCATTACACCCAACCGAAACTACATATAGGTCCTACTGTCCACATCCATGTCATTACACCCAACCGAAACTACATATAAATCCTACTGTCCACATCCACATCATTACACCCAACCGGAACTACATACCTACTGTCCACATCCACATCATTACACCCAACCGAAACTACATATAGGTCCTACTGTCCACATCCACATCATTACACCCAACCGAAACTACATATAGGTCCTACTGTCCACATCGACATCATTACACCCAACCGAAACTATATATAGGTCCTATTGCCCACATCCACATCATTACACCCAACCGAAACTACATATAGGTCCTACTGTCCACATCCACATCATTACACCCAACCGAAACTACATATAGGTCCTACTGTCCACATCATTACACCCAACCGAAACTACATATAGGTCCTACTGTCCACATCGACATCATTACACCCAA